GTGTATATACACCAGAAAGCCTCTGTTGGGACCTTACGTGGTCTGAGGCACGGGATACTCACCGGGATCCCCCACAACGGGCAGCTTGCTGGCCAGATGCCATCATCCAGTGTCCACACATGGTTCAGCCCTTCATCTTCGCTCGTCCACCTTCTTAAAGGGCTCATACCCCGGCTGCATGAGCCTCCACTGCAGGGTGTCCCATTCCTGGCCAACTGATCCTGTCTCCTCTCCCCTCCTTCCACCACTGGAGATGCTTCTAATAGGAGTGACGTTGCCTTGCCCTGGTGGCCCCTAGTCGTTGCTTGCTCCTAATGTCACCAGTCCCAGGGGAGATCCAGTCCTCACTCCTTACCTACCAGGCACTGCTGCAGTGCTACCTGAGGTTAACCCTAGCTCACAGCAGACTGCTTGTTTGCTGCTTTGTTTTCTTTGGTCTTCCTACAGAACGAACCTTTCATCTCTTACAGGTGGATTAGCCTCCTTTTGAGTAATATGTCAATAGCTTTCTCAAACAAGAACAAAGGGAGCTGCCCTTGCACAGTATGCTTAAACACTGCAGTCAGGCTTTGGAGACATTGCTGGCATTGACAGTGTCTGCACTCCCCACCCCCACCGTATCCAGGCTCCTGGGCTCCTTCAATAACATGTGATCCTGGTGACCCTTCCCATCCAGACTTCACCGTCCTACTAGCCTGTTGTTGAGCTTAGCAATAACTGCCTGTGACTTCCTCTCACAGCCCTGCACCCGCAGCTGAGGGGTGCTTGGGGTAGGGATTGCAGGCTTTCATTTACCACCTGTTTGCTTCCCTGCCAGTCTGACAGGAAGCTTTCTCTACTCCCTTCCATGTGGGCAGGAAGTTGCTCAACAGAAAGCTTTTCTTTTCAAACTCTTCCCCCTAGAGGGCATTCAGTGACCAGCACCTGTCCACAGGCTGCTATTGTCACACTGAGGTGCCTCTGCACTGTGCCTTTGGAAGAATTCCCAGTGATGAAGGGTAACAATCATCTAGGTCTGTCTGGTCCAACTGTGCCACTTTGACGCTGTGTCGCTGGGGGCAACTAGCTTGGTTCTGCATGCCTTAGTCCCTATCACAGCATGACTGTAAAATGGGACAGCATGTGGGCGTGCATGGTTAGGACAGTGCCTGGCACACCGTGTGACAGTAAAGGAGAACAGAATGACCCAGGATCTGGGTCTCTGGAGGTTTCCTTAGTGATGATGTAGTGATGCATGTCCTGTGATCGTCAGCTACTGCAGCACCACCCGGGCCAAGTGCTCTGTCTCTTTCATTCTTCGACAGCCCTGGGTTCTGTCACCTCCACAGTGAGGAGATATTCAGGGATTTGAGCACATGGGGCCGATTTGAGCACACGGGGCCTCTCTGAGCACTGACTTCTCAGTGTAGTGGCAGTTCCTATGTAGGGGACTGGCAGACAGTTGAGCACACCTGGGTGCCGACTTTCCTGGAGATGTTGCAGTCCTCAGGAGCCTCTGGGAGGGAGGAATGTCGCTTTTCGCAGATGGAAGACCCTGAGGCCCAGTGTTGATACTTGCTCAGGTACACATGCACACATGCACATGCACAGGTGTGGGCAGAGCTGGGATTTGAACCCAAAAGCCTAGGACCCATCATGCCTTAACCTCTGTTGCAGTCTTGCTAAAAGGAGGCTTGTCATTCTTTACATTTGAAGCTCTCACCACAGCAAAAGTTCTAGTTCTTTCTTACATCTCATAAAAATACCTAGATTTGCAAATAATTCTACCAAGAATTCTGAGAATCATAGTGTTCTAGATCTCTGCTAGAACAGTCACAATATATACCATCATATTTTCTGGCAATGTTACAGGCTAAAATGAGTCCGTCTCCACCTTGAGTTATTATTATTATTATTGCCACTTTTTACTGCTGCATTAATCACCAAACAGAGAGAGACTGATGAACTTAATTGTTTTTTAGAAACTTGAATTAAATACCAGTGCTGATGCTGGGTGACCGAGCCTGGTGCTGCGTATTTCAACAGAGGAGTGGACAGGCTGTTTCCAAAGACTTGATCACTTGACTGTCACCTAGACATTCATTACCAGTTCGTTGCACAGCCCATTTTACTTTTAGTCAGTTTGCAGAACACATATGTGAGTTATAGCATAAAAGTTTCATGTCTGTCAAGTTGAGATGATTCAGCAATATTTTATTTATTTTATGTGTATGAGTGTTTTTCCTGTGTCTGTGTAAGCACACCATGTGTGCAATGCACACAGAGGCCAGCCAGAAGATGGCATCAGATCCCCTGGGTCTGGAGTTACAGACAGTTGTTATCTGCCATGTGGGTGCTGTGTACTGAATCTGGGTCCTCTGCAAGAGCAGCTGGTGACCTTAACCAGAGATAATTTTTAAATGAGCATCTGTATTGGGTTTCTGGGGCCACTGGAACAGAGCCACACAATCGGCAGCTCCACCAACAGATGTTTCTTTCTCATGGTTCTAGAGGCTGGAAGTCCAAGGTCATGGTGTTGGCAGGTCTGATTTCTCCTGAGGTCTGTCTCCCCCCACCCCCCCCACCCCCTTCTCTCCCTCCCTTCCTTCCCATCTTGCAGATGGCCTCCTCAGTGTGGTGTCGCATGCCTTTCTCCTTGCACCTAATGTCTTCCTCTTCTTACAGGGACACCAGTTCAGTTCCATTGGACCTCCCCCCATTTTAACTTAATTACCTCTTTAAAGACCCTATCTCCAAATACAATCACAATCTAAGGTTATAGATACTAGGACTTCAACATAATGTATTTGTGCAGGACATAACATCTTCCATCAGTTCCTAATGGGCATAGGAGGGAGGAGGGAAATGTATTCTCAAAATGATTTATGGATCTAGGCTCTTCTGTTTATCAAAAACATCTATAATTCTCAGATCCCACATTTCAAAGAGTAGAAAACTATTTCAGCATACTACAGAATTTTAATTTTGGTCTCCATTTCAAATGGGACTGGGGATTTTCAATTAGATGGTTGTCTACAAATGGTGGCCTTTTTGTGAGTTTTTTATTGTTGTTGTTGATTTCAGCCTTAACTCAAAGAGAGGCAAATCCCTACATACCAAGGACAAAGAAGAATCCAGAATTCAGGCATGAGACTTGGCCCTTAGTGAGGCCTTGTAGGATCCCAGACCCCAGCTTGATGAAATACCTGACTGAGGCAGGCAACTTAAAGGACTCACAGTTTCCATCCATCACTGCCAGGAAGGTGTGGCACAGTTCACAGTGGCCAGAGTGTGTGGTGGGAGCTTCCCACGTCTTAGCAGATCTAGAAACAGCACTGAGAACAAGAACCAGGGTTTTGGTGTAACCTTCAAAAGCTGGCCCCTACCAGCTCATGTCCACCAGCTAGGCACCATGTCCCAAAGGTCCACAGCCTCGCTAAGCAGAGCCACAAGCTGGAGGCCAAGTGCTCCAAACACAGCTTGTTGGCACATGTTATATTCAAACCATACCATGTGGTGTAGAGACCCTATGCTGAGAGACTCCAGGATTTCCAGACACCTGAACAGAGACAGGTGCAGCCTCCTCCACAGAGCTGCAGTCTACACGAGGGCCCCATGAAATCCTCACTAATAAGCCCAAGGAAGCCAATACATACTCCACAGTCACCCAGCCGAGGAACAAGGGTCAGCAGACAGACTGACTTGCAAAGACCTCAGATAACAAAAGCTGGCATACAACTGTAAGGCAAGTGTATCTGAAACAAATATGTAAATAGGAAGGAGTAAGACCCCAATTAGTAAAGACCTGGTAAAATGGAGACAGAAGCTGAGCTCTGCAGAGAAAAATAAAATTATTAAAGATCACTGGGCTGGAGAGATGGCTCAGCAGTTAAGAGCACTGACTGCTCTTAACAGAAGACCTGGGTTTGATTCCCAGCACTCACATGGCAGCTAACAGCCACCCATAGCTCCAGTTCCAGGGGACTCCGTTTGACCCCCATGGGCATTACACAACATGCAGATCCCCCCAAATGAAAACATGGACATAAAAAAATTATACAAATGTTATTCAGAGCTTCATAATAGTGGGAATAACCCAAGTGCCTGTCAGCTGGTGAATGGATAAGTAGAATGTACATCCATGCACAGGAGGATATTTGGCACAGAGAAGGAACAAAGCCCTGATACTTGGGGTAACACAGGTGAACCTTGAAAACATCGAAAAGAACCAGTGACCAAACACCATATATTTTATGATTCCTTCTCTACCCCAAATGGCCAGGGTAGGCGGGTCTGAATGATAGTTGCCAGGAGCCAGGGGAGGGGTGGACAGGGATGGCACTGTTCATGGGTGTGAGATTTCTGCTTGAGATGATGAAAAGCAATTATAGTATTGGTCAAACAGCTCAAAGGTGCTGTGTTAGTCTAAATGGGTGACTTCTATTGTACATGTATCTTGGTAAAGCTGTTTTTGAAAAGAAAATAACATCTCCCAATAGTTGAGATCATTGTACAGTTTGGGAAGGTTTGTTCTGAACATCTGTGCTGCTCCTAACTGGGCTCTGTCTGACACTGGCATGGTGGCTGTCCTGTATCACCCATGACTGTGTCGCCCTCTCCAAACCATCATTGATATTTGAAGAAGTAAGATCACTGGGCAGGGTTCAGGTGGCCCTTGTTATGTCCAGAAAATGTGTCAACCCTAACTGAGCAGCCACTTGGTCGCATGCTTACGTCCTGGGTGTACTGCACTTCTTACAAAGTACTTGAAAGGTGGTCAGAAAGGAACAGGGGAGCCTTGGGTGGTTTCTAGGACCATCTGGAGTAAGAGTATTGAGAACTATACCACGTCCAGTCTCCTCCAGAACACACTACCGCCCTGTCAGTAATGCCTGTTGCTGTTCTTGGACTTTTCCAGACCAACTTGTGTCCATTCAGCAACCACAGCCTTCCAACAGATGCCTGCTGATCCACAGGCAGATCCACCTCCCTGATCACTCCTGCCTTTGTTTTTGTTTCAGTGAAGGCTGGTGGAATGCGGATTGTGCAGAAACATCCACATACCGGAGACTCAAAGGAGGAAAAGGACAAGGATGAGCAGGAATGGGAAAGCACCAGGTGGGAGGCGGCTGCGGCTCAGCAGACAGTGCACGTGACTGTTTGCTAGACATTGATGTTTGTTCTATGCTCCTGATAACTGCTGGGCCTCCAGGCCCCATGCTGTGTTTTCCCTCTCCTATCAGCAAGCCAGTGTTCTGTGCCAGGAAGGAGGGAGACAGCCCATCTGAAGTGTGCCCTCTTGCCCACCTCCCCCTGTGCCCCATCTCCTGATTTAGTGAGGGCCACTCATCCCAGGAGCTGGGGATCTGTGCTGAGCACGGCCACATTCTGCAGCAGCATACTGTGTTCCTGGGACTAACTCTTGAGTTCTCCGCTGGGGCTGCCGCTCTGAAATTCCCGGGGAACCTCTGCAGTCACCCACACTAGTTGAACCTTAGCCTTTACACAGTCAGGGTAGAGAACTTCTGAGTTAAGAAATGCTTGCAGGCAAATCTCCAGTCAGCAAGGCCACTCTTGGAAATGACCAGGTATGTCCTTTGATAACATCTCTGTCTCAGCCTTCCTGGGTCCTGGATCCCAGCCTTCCTGGGTCCTGGATTCCGTTCACCCCTCTGTGTTTACCACCTATTTTCCTTAGAGGTTCTGATTTCCAAAGTTTGGTTCAAGAACCTCATCCTTCATTGTGAATGACCTTGTCTATACTGTTGGTGCTAGCACACATCTGACTGTGTCCACCCAGAGAACATTAGCAGTAACTTCTCTGCTCAGAACTCGACTACAGATGATGTCTCAGCTATAGCAAGGAGGACAGGAGGGGCGGGAAGGACAGGAGGTGGTGGAAAGTGCTAAGCCCATATTTCTGTGGTCTGGCCTCTGGATTTCACTTTACCTTACTCCTGCAGCCCTGAGAAGTAGGCAGCGCCCTCCTCAAGTTACACAGAAACTCATAGAGGCTGAGCTCTTGTCCACATCCTGCACCTTCCCAGCTGATGCAGAGGAATTTAAATGTAGCTCTGCAGGGATCCACAGCAGGCCAGGCATTGAAAGAAGGGCTCCCAAGAACATGCCTGCATAGGAAGAGGGTGTGTGTGTGTTCTTAATGACCCATGTGTCTGCTCATGTGTCCTCCACGGTGGCTGCTTTCTATTGAACCTCTTGAGGAAGGCTCTTGATCAAGCCACTCAAGGAGAGGCTGTTGTGAGATGTTTCTGAGTGACTACTGCCCATTTAATCATGAGGCCTGCAGTGGGAATAAGATTCATCCCAAGCTTTTTAAACCCCATTTTAACCCTTTTTCCCCCTGAAGATTGAACTCAGGGCCTCACACAAAATCAAGAAGACCTGAGTTCTAGTTTCAAAAGGGCAAGGCAGTTTAAAGAAAATCCAGCATTATATTTCTGGTTGGCTGTTTCCACAGAACTACATTTGGAATGTAACAGTTATCAGTGACTAACAGGTCCATGGTCCTGAGGGTCAGGTTAGTCCAGGTTTTGGAAGTGTGGAGACTGGAGAGGATAGTCCAGAACCTGGGAAAGTAAAGGATGTTCCAGCTGGCACCTGGGTGGGGCTCAAGCAGGGCCCTGTAGTCTACCTGCTGTGATCTATCAAAGTGCGGTGGGTCTTCCCTGTGGACTCTGTCAGCTCACATGAAGTTCTGTCTCTATACAAGTTTCCGGGGAACTTTCCTGAATTGGAGAAAAGGTAAGATTGTGCGTGCCTGCGATGGCTTCTGCTTCTGGAATACCTGGTGCCCTTGTTTCCCCACTAATCCAGCTGCTCCCTGAGAAGGTGGGATGAGGAGGAGAGGGGTAAAGTCCTGGAAAGGAAGGGAAGACTCTCCTGTGTGTGTGTCTGTGGAGAGGGACTGGCAGCTGTTCACATGCCCCGTGCTGCATGCCGGAGCAGAGATGGCAAGTCACGTGCACGTTTAGAAGCAAAGGCAGAGCCGCCCCTCGTGTTTCTTTCTCCTGCTTTTCTGAGAGGAAATACAGTTGTGGAAGATGAGCAGTTCAAACCACAGAGGGTTAGTGGTGTGAGGGAAAAGACTGGTCACCAGCACCCAGATTTCAATGTCATCTCCATGTGAAGGATTAAACCTCTGTAGAGCCAGGGATTCTGAAGCAAGCTGATGGCAAAGCAGGGTCTGCATTAAGTGCGAACTGTTTGCTTCCCTGCAGTCAGATTGCTGTGTTCTTTATGGGTGTGTTTAGCTCATCTCTGCTTGACTTTGGCTTGACTCTTCAGCAGTGTGTGTTAAACCATGTGACCTATGGGAGTACGGAGTGGGAGAAGTCTGTGGACATTTATGTTGCCAACGCAGGCATCAGGTCTCACGCCCTGTGTAATGGTGTAATGGTTTGCAATGCCACCACACTCCCCACTTTTCTGTTGAATGATTGTATAGTCATCAGTACCTCTTTTTACTATATTTACTTATTGTATGTGTGCATATGTGTGTGTATATGTGCCTCAGCCTACATGTGAGGTCAGAAAACAACCTTTGAGAGTTGATGCTGTCCTTCCACTGTGTGGGTCCCAGGAATCAAACTCAAGATTGTCAGGCTTGGGGACAAGTGTATTTAGCCACTGACCCATCTTGCCAGCCCTCCTTTTTGGTTTTTTGACACAGGCTCCTGCTGTAGCTCAGGCTGGCCTCAAACTCACAATCCTGCTTCCATCTCCCAAACCCTGGGATTACAGGTGTGAGCCACCACACCCAGTCATCGTTGCTACTTCATAGAGTGCAAGGAGCCGGCCTGTCCTGAGCACTCCATCCACCCGAGTGCGTGCAGGCCCCACTACTTTTCTTGCTTTCCCTATTTCGGAGTTGGGTTTTATTCTCATTCCAGATGACTCCCTCTTCAGTGGTTCAGAGAGTAAAGTTAGCTTCCAAGGGTCCAAAGTAATGGCAGAGCACACAGAGCGGTGTCCCGACTCCTCACTGTTGGCCTCCAGGCTGTGCCAACCAGTCAGGCTCCTGTTTTGTGCTGTACACTTAGTGATTTGCCTCAGGTTTCACTCTACCTCTAACTTGGTTTTACTGTGCCCATTGCATAGAGGAAGAAGACAAGTCTTGGGGATGTCATCCAGGCCTTTGATGCTTAGCCAGTCAGGGCCCTGGCCTATATTCAGCCCTGAGTCTCTGTCAGCTTCAGAGCTCAAGAACCACTCATCATGGACTGCAGTCTGGAGCCTATATAAATGATAATTATTGGTGCTGAAGTTGCCACCCCTAGTCTGTGCTTCTCAAACCTGTAATCCTACTTTATTTCTGCTGCCTCACCCTAAGGAGATGGATGGATGATCCATTTTCAGCAGGGTTTCAGGGCACTGGGCTGGCTTCCCTTTATGTATGGAAAGGCTTATTTATTTTCAGAATTTATAAAATCTGCAATTTTCCTCTTGAAAATGTCCCCTGGCATGTGATTTGACCATCCGTATTATCATAAATCCTAAGGTTTTATGTTTTTTTGTATTTTGATCTAAGTGTTCTCCGGCTGTGAAAACAAACGTCACATCAGAAGTCAGTCTCCTCCTTAGATCCACATTGCAAACTCCCTTAAAGCTTCCTAGATATTTGACTCTAAGTTACCAACTCATTTCTGGGGCTTCCTTCTTCCTTCCTTTAAAGACAGAGGAGTGATTACAGAGAAAGTGAACAACCAGAGCCTCGAAGACGGTAATATGTGGTCCAGAGAAACTCCACTGCCTTTGCTAGTAATTGTTTTTCTTTCAAAAGTTCATGCAGTCCCTTACTCCCTTTAATCTTGTAATTTTTCCAAAGACTCAAAAATAGTGTCGTATGCTGCCAAGAGAAAAGAAAGAATATTTCAGAAATGTGGAGATACTGCCTGAGAATTTCCAGCAGGTTGAGGCCTACTGGCCTGCTGGCCTCCTATGCAAGAAGAGGGATAACCTCAACCACTAGTTACTAGCTAACACTTTCCTGACTTGCTGCTCAGTTCCACCCCAGAAATGACCGAATTGAAGAAAGCAGGAATCCTCCTGTCTGCTGTAGTAAGAGGCTGTACCCCTTTACAAAAAGAAAGTGTTGAATGAAATTCAACACAAGACTCACTAAAGGGAACAGTTGAATGCTGAGCATTTACTGAGGACCTGCCACACACTGTGGGCAAGGACTGCACAAAGGTCCTTCATAACAGTCCACCACAGACATCAGCACCTCGTGGCTCTGGGCATTTGTTGGCATTGTCCAGCCTACTGACATCCCGAAAGCAATGGTAGCAAAATAATTTAACTATGGGGTTTCCATGGCATATGAGGCCTCTTTCTGCTGGGCCAGCAATACCATTGCCCACGTTGGGCATGATAGAAGCCTGTTTCGAGGCCAGGTGGACTTTTTATGCACCCCAACTTTCATTTTGTACCCCATCTACTTAAAAGAACCTTTTCTGCATTCGTCTTTAGTATATGTATGGCCTTCTGTTTTCATTGTTTGCGGAAAGGCCTCACCATGCAGTCAGGCTGCCCCTGAAGTTGAGATCCTCCTGCCTGCCTGAGCCTTCTGCATGCTGGGGTTATTGGCATGTGTTACTATACCTGGTTCATTTTTACGTCTCTCTGTCTCTGTCTCTGTCTCTGTCTCTCTCTCTTTCTCTCTCTCTCTCTCTCTCTCTCTCTCACACACACACACACACACACACACACACACAGTACACATCTATTACACTACCATTCTATAAATTCCATGTCTACAAAATGGATAGAGCCTCTTTGATAAAGGTGAAGGAAGCACTAGCAACTTTGTACCGTCATTAGCAAGTATCTCAAGGTCCTAACACTCTTGCAGAGAAATTTCTCATTAATGATGCAGGATGTGAATTTAAATTACCTTCCGGGTAATTTCAGGTTGATGGAGGAGGGCTGCTGCTTGTCAGATCTGATTAGACTGCCACGTTGAAATGAGAACAAGTGTGAACACTTCCTTTTTGCTCACCTGTGCTTGCGTTTGGCCACTTGTGCATTTTGTAAAATTAATTTAAATTCAGCCCTAAAATAGCACCTGAACTCAGTTCAAGGCACTGGGGATATATCAG